GGTCGCGGCATTGCTTGGCTTGGCATGGGGATGTTGCTTGTATGTATGTATATATGTATGTATATGCCGATGACACGATGCCTATTGCCGCGGGTTGTTAAGTTAGCTGGGATTGGATTCGGGGTAGGTAAGGCATCCCCCGTGTTCATGTAGCTCTGTTTATTTATTTATTTAGAGAGCGAGTATCCGTAGATTTATACATGTTCATAGGATGTAGCTTCATGTGATGTACAGCGACAAACGAATCCATCTCCCTTCTGCCCTCGTAGTTCGCTCCCCCATATCCTATCTTACGTTAACCTTCAACTCGCCCAACCCTCCTCCTCTCCCCCCTCATATCAATTAATTAACTACCTACCCAATCGATCATCCATCCGAGTCCTCAAGTCCCCAAGTAAACCCCCCCCCCCCCCCCCCCCCCCGGCCATGACGACCCCACAACGCCGCAGCGTGATCGTCACGGGCGGCGCGAGCGGCCTGGGCAAGATCATGAGCGGCTACTTCGCCGCGCGCGGGGACGTCGTCACCATCCTCGATATTAACGAGGCCGACGGCGCCGCCGTGGCGGCTGGGCTCGGGACCCCCGCCCCGGCCCCGGCCGCGGGCGAGGAGGCGCCAGCGGCGGCGGTGCGCTTCCGGAAATGCGACATCGCCTCGTGGCGGGAGCAGGCCGCTGCTTTCAGGGCTGTCTACGAGGATGTCGGGCGCGTCGATGTCGTTGTCGCGAATGCGGGTGTCGCGGAGGGTGGGAGGAGTTGGGTCGTTCCCCCTTTTCCGCAGACGGGGAAGGGCGAGGGGCGTGAGGATAAGGGTGGTGTTGGGGTGCTGGAGGAGCCCGAGGAGCCGAGGTTGAAGGTGCTTGATGTGAATCTTGTTGGTAATGTTTATTGTATGTGTCGTTGTTTTCTTGTCTTTCCACCCCCCAGTTTTTTTTCTCCTTGGTTTTATTCTTGTTGCTTTTAAGGGGCTTAGTACCGCTTCATTCGGTTTGTATCACGTCTGTGGATTACTCTTGGACGGAGACTCCAGTTGTTTTTTTCTAATTTCTTGTGTCGTTCGAAGAGGAACAGAAGATGGAAGGGCAGGATACACAATCCTCTACTATGATATTTTTGTCAGGGTGCAAATTGGAATCGAATCCAACGTCAGTTGCTCGGTCAGTTAACTGACAACCTCATCATAGCCGTAAAGCTCGCAATGCACTATATGCAGCGCAACACACCAGACCCGACGACGGGCCTCCGCGGCTCCATCGTCTGCACGGCGTCTAACGTGGGCCTATACCCGTTCCCTACGCAGCCTCTCTACGCCGCGTCGAAGCACGCCATAGTCGGCCTCGTGCGCTCTCTCGGCCTCGTATACGGGCAGCCACATATCGGCATCCGGATCAATGCGCTGGCGCCGGCTGTGCTTAGTGAGTTCCCCGCCCGTTATCTTTACGCTGCGTCACCCTTTACATATACAAGAAAGGGGTGGTAGTGGTGGTGGTGGTGGTGGTGGTATGTGTTAACGTTGTGGAATCGAACTAGAGACAAACATCTCGAGCAAACACGCCCTCTTCACCAATATGGTCGTGACGCCGCCCAGCACGCTCATCGCCGGCTTGGAGAAGCTGCTGACCGACACCTCGCTCAATGGCCAGGTGGCGGAGATCCATGGCGATAATGTCACCTTGCGTCCACCGCACGAAGTCGTTGATGCGGACTCGCGGCATAATTTGGAAGAGTTTTTAAGGTTTGGCTACGGAGATTGAAGTTGGGGTATGACATGTACTGTAGAGACAAGTCTGTTGATTTGTATATAATAGTTTATTATAGCTTTAAGTGATATTTAACCCGAAGATGAGTGCCATGCTCCGTTAGTAATTTGACGGACTTCATAAGAGTGCCAAAATTGGTTCCATTCCAAAGGCATACAGTAGACATAGTGTAAATTTAGGAAGGGGCGAAAGAAAATAGGGAATAAGTAAGAAGAAACTAGGGTAATAGTTACCTACCTTTCAAACTTCGAGTTGGTAAAGGATGAAAAGGGGGAGGGCCCTGGATAGGAGCACATCTTGATATCAAGTATCACTATGAAGAGATGATGACAGTTTTACAACCACGCTCGCTTTGGTAAGGCACTGCGCTAGGCAACCAGGTAATCATTCACTATCCAGTCTTCGGTCTCTGACAGAAGGGGTCATCACTCTTAACTATCTACGATTGTTGTTGTGTTGCACGCCCCCATCCGCTTTACCCATTACCAATTGTCTATCCCTCACCGGCCAAGGTATCATTTTTCTCTCTGTCGGCTAGTAGTATCCCCTCATCCCTCATCCCTCTCATCAGTCGGTGGCGGCGCTCGGGTGTATGAGATGCTTGCCATTAAGAGCGCCGCAACCCTGTCGAGGGCAACTTCTTGCGAACATCCTGACGCGCTTCTAAGCCACAGCTAATAGCCAGTACCGATGTTGATTATTTGCGCGATGTTCTAGGCTTGGTACTTTCTTTTCTTGCATAGTGGAACGTCAGTTTCGTCGTCGTCGTCGTCATCTTCGTCGCCTTGCATGGAGACATCTTGCTCGGCACCTTGCCCGGCTTTCTCGTTCCTATCATCATTCTCCTCAGATCCATCTGTAGCTGGGCTACTGGCGGCCTTTCCCTGGTCCTCTAGGTCGTTTAATGCGTCGTTGCTACCTTCAGGGATGTTAGCAGGGAGGCTCTTGGCGTCCTTTTTATTGATCCCCTCTCGACTATTATTCGTCTTTCCAATATTGGCTGTAGCGTTTGGTGTAGGTGTATTCGGACCCGTGGCGGCAACAGCTATGGTAGATGACGAACCGTTCTGAGTTGCGGCACGGCTTGTATTGGAATCGACAGATACCGACAAATCTTGTCCACTCGGAGGTGTAGGGTTGGAAACAGCCACAGTGGTAGTAATTGTAGCCACCGTCATAGTTGAACCGGCCGCCGTAGGTAGAGGCGGCTGTGCCGTCTGAGGAACGACTACACCGGGAGGTGCCACCGCGGAAATGCCACGGTTCAGGTGATACGATCTCTCGCGAAGTCGAACAATATTTGGCTCGATTCGATACTGTGTTTAGTTAGCAGTGTCTTCCATGGCATATCCTACCGGGGGCTAAGCTAGGCTGTTGTCTCACCCGCCAAATTCGTTGAACATAGTCCAAGGGCCTACGGTCCTCGTGTCTCAAACCTGATGCCAGGGCCTTTTCCGATCTGGGTCGCCGTGAAAAACATAATGCGATGTCATTATATTCTTTGATGCACGATCTCCAGTCGACCGCATGAGATGCCAGGAACACGATTGCTTTCTTTTCCCACAATTTCAGTGATGAGACGAACCCGGGCGTCAACCCTATCATCTCGAGCAACGAATCTATAGCGTCTTGTCGGCTGTCGCATTGGATGACATTGTTGCATGGGTTTTTGAAGTTGAGGAATATCACCTGTGACACAGAAGTGTCTCGAGTATTTTTTATAATTGGCATGTCCACTAGATGATGATAGCTAGAGGGATCAGTAACGGTGGTTGGTAGTAAGGACCAGTAATTATCGTGTATTACCCTGGGGCAAACTTTGGTATAGGTTGATGAGATTGATTGAGAGTCAGCGACAGTGGCACATGCTTAAATAATACGAAGAGATGGAAATAAGAAGTAGTGCCTTGGAAAGTTACCTTGGTCTGTAACAAGCTCTAACTTGATCCCTCTTCATGATGATTCGGGCAACTAGTTTCTTATTCTAGAAAAGAGATAGAGGCCCCCATACCCTTTTATTTCACGTATAACGAAAAGTCTCGACGTCCTTGATAGAAACACAAAGGTCCTAATGAATGAAACAGACCCGAGCCCTGTCTAGTATATTCTGGTGGTCCATCGAGTAGGCTATAGTGACTCCGGAGTTCTATCTTTATACCCAACGATAGTAGTCGGTATCGTTTACGAGGGCGGTATGATTCGAGCATACAATTAACATCAAGAACTTTCCACCAATAGGCCTCATCCAGAACCTACCTAAAAATATACTGAATACTTTCTATAACATCATCACTCGCTACCAGTATACGGTAGATAATTAAACGTGCATTATGAGGCTAATAAATATCCGTTGCCATTCCAATCTTCCACGAGTGGACGAGCCAGTAGCAACTAGGTGGTAGGTATACTCCATCATCTAAGGGCTGCTACACCCAAAGGGTAGATGTTTGCTTATATCGGATTCTGGAGTGTAATAGCATTTTGTTTAGACTGGAACGCGGCTAGGAACCGGTGATCGAGTTAAACGTACGATAAGTAGCTCAACTGCATGCCTCTGTGTATTATTAGTAGCAGTCTTGGATTCTTGAGTATATTCCACCACCTGAGCGCTCAACTATTCATTACCAAATAAGGGGTTTGCAGCATGTCCCTTTCTCTAATTGGCCTTCAGGACATTGTCCTCACCTCCTCGTTACCCTTCTGGCCTGTATATTTCCATCTCATTGTCTTAATGTACAATAGATGCGATATACCCGCTTTTGAGCCACCTACTGGCACTACGAATTGTCGATTTTGTGCCGTCATAATCGGTACCATCGCCCCAAGATTATGTTCGCAGTTTCGTCTATAACCCCGACAACATGAAGACGAGGGGAAGGAGTATGTATGTATGTATGTATGCCTCGAAAGTACCAAGGTTGTTACCATGATGTCTTACTCGAGGGCCTATTCTTTAATACTCGATTCCAGCCTGCGCTGCAACTGGGTATTGTTAGGGGTTAGCCACCATGCCTCCCACCAGTAAGGATATTACTGCTACTAAATTTCGTCTGCGGTCAGTGAATAAGGACTGAGATACTGTATTGCATCGATTCCCCTTGGTTGCGCATGTATTCAAGGTATGCAATTCCTAATATGTGCTCATTGAGACTCCCATCGATAAGGTATCCAGCCAACTCCACGTGTCCACGCGTTATTGGTTTAGTTAGGCTGCCCAACACTCATCAAGCCACACAACAACGGCCGGTTGGCCTAATGGCAAGGCATTGCTTTCCGGTATCCAAAGCTGGACTTGGCAAAGATTGCGGGTTCGAGTCCCGTACTGGTCGATTTTTTGGGGTTGAGCCCGCCTCAACATTTATTTTATTTAGTCGGTAGTATTTCTGCTTTTTGTGAGAAAAATTCTTTTTTCAATGAATAGCGCTAGGGCTTACTACTATGTATAATACAATAGGGGTTTGCGAGCTTAATAAGCCTTTCTCGATCCTGCCTCCAGGCATTTAAACAACGAATAGGACTCTTTTCTCCGATGGTAGGTAGAATTAATGCAGGTACCTAGGTAGCATACTTGACTTCAGCATAGAGAGGTACGTACTTACTTACTTGCACACACGTCGAAGTAAATACAGTAAGGACCATTCAAGCCCCGAAATTTGACGGTAGCACGAGCCGAAGCACAGAATCAAGATAAGCTTAACATATCCAATGCTACAACATATTAGAGTACGCAAGGAGAATTAAATATATGAACATGTCTTGGCCAATCTACAGCATTACTATACCTTGGACTGCCTATTCTTGCTGTTGGTTGCGCAGCGTAGACACCAGAGTTCAGCTTGATACATTTCCAGGTGTACAAGATGATTCAGGCGTTATTTACGCGAGGGAAGGGAAGCGCATAATGTGATTGATAGCTAGCCATCTTAGGTAAGTAGCTCAGTGTCGCAAAGTAAAGCACTCACTGTACACTGTACACTAAGCCAAGATAAGAGAGCTTGGCAGTGGCATGTACCCGGGTACCGCATCAGATTCAATGCCCAAGGTTCCCGCCCCCACGCTTGCCTAGGTACCGGGTACCGCACACGCACAGATCTCACCGTCATTTCACGTCAGCTGCGAGAAAAAAAAATTTTGCGACGTGCCGGGCAACGTTTCGAGCTGACTCGCTCGCAATCTCTTGGTAAAGGACTGCAGAGTACGTACCTACCCTAAGTAATAGTATACATAAGAGCTCTATGCAGCCTCTTTTCACCCATTGATCAAATAAGTTCAATTATACTTACTTACTACTCCCGTCTTGCTGCAGTCATATTATATTGGATAAAAAAGAGTTAGTTCACTCGACATAACTACTATACCTACTGCACCTATGTTGTGCCCTGCTGGGGCTGACATTTGAGGCTCAACCACCCATGACTCGCCTACGTGCCCTGCGATCGGAAAGTGCTTGGGACAGCGGTAGAAAATACCTCCTTCCCCTTTTGGTGCCAAATAGGTCAGTTGAGGTACCCACATCCACATAATTTCCCGCTCTCCTGGAATCGGAAACGTGGGCAGAGACAGCTTTCTGCTTGCCGACAGCTCGCCTGTCGCAGGCCAGTACCGTGGTACCGTAGTACCGAGTACATGCTGGTAGGGCTAAGTGCTGCGAGACGTGTAGTCTATGTACATGTACATGTACATGTACATAGTACAGTAGGTATTGTTATTTATTGTGCTGCATGCCAGGCCCGAAGCTTGCTGGTCTTTGCCGGAATCCAGAACGATTGGCGACTTGCCATTGGCCCTCACAACTACTACTCCCCGAAATAGGCCACATACGGACTGCCGTCACGTCTGCGGGATGAACCTGGCTTGCCCGGCAGGCCAGGATACCTCGATGGTGATATGTGTGATATGTGTGATATGTGACTCTTTTCAGAGCTGACTCACGCGGGCGTTCACGGTCGCGCCGGGTGACTCGCAGCAAAGCTGCTGTGGCTGCTGCGGTCTCGAGGAAGCAGTGCTTCGTCTCCATGCCCGTCACAACGAGGATGTGTCCCTCCTTTTATACTACTGTATGTTGTTTCGCTGTCATATTCCGTACCATGTCATCGTCTGACAAGCTCCACTCATGATAGTCGCCTATGAGCTCATTGCGATAGCAGCTGGGCTCCATGTTTGCTACCCGCAAGACCGAGCCAAGTGGAGGAACGAGTTTAGTCAGTGGGGGTTCATAGTGTATTCGTCTTCCTACCTCTTTTCGCGTCGCATCCTTTGCCCCGGTTCATTGTTACTCTGTTACTCAAGAACGCCTCAACGGGATCGAATGTTCCCCGATAGTAATACCTTCTTCGTCTGCCCAATCAGCCAATATGAGCCCTATGTCGTGTTCTCAGGAGCGAGTGCTTTTGATGTCGAGATCAAGCCCTTTCGACGTCATTTATCATGTTCTCGACCCAGGTTCGGAAGAAAAGCCGCAAAGCCAATCGTGCCGAGAATAACAAGTCGGGTTGGCTGTATAAGCGCTGTACCCGGAAATGCCCGACATCCCTGTAAATCATCAATGAAACCCGTCAGCCTTGTCTCCTTTGGGTAGCCTCCAATAGCAAAAAGTTTGTCGCAACCTCTGCTCTGTGCTTGCCCTCCCCCTCCACCCCCCAATTGTGTCTACGCATATTCTGTCGACGCCGTGTGGGTTTCATTCACTCCCACAGTCCAGCTTCATTCCCTTAGACACAGTGCCGATACCAGCTGGTGGTCCATGCCCAACCCCGGAACAACTGTTCTGTCGTCCTCCTAGAGCTCCATCAAACTTTTCTTCCTTTCTGCCGCACCCGAAAGAGGCTTTTTTTCTTCTTCCTCAAGCTCTTATCTCTTCTTCCATAAGCTCACTCGCCTGTCCTCTCTTCGCTCGACACTCCCCCCTCCATCACCAACAACCCATCCACATCCATCACAATGGCCTCTGCTCGCATTGTTGCTTCCCGCGCCTTCGCCTCTGTTGGCACCAAGGTCGCTCGCCCTGCTGTCCGGGCTTCCTTCGCCAACGTTGCTGCTAAGCGCACCATTGCCAGTACGTTTGTCTGCGAAAATCACGCAATTGGCTCCGGTCGAGCCTGTCGAGTGGCCTGATCGATTCAATTGAGCATGTCAAGTCTAACATTTGTCCCCCTCAGGCAATGCCACCCCCCTCCAGGCCGCCAAGCGCCAGCAGGTCTCTAAGATCCTGAGCGCCACCACACGCCAGGCTTTCCAGCGCCGCGCCTACTCTTCAGAGATCGCCCAGGCCATGGTCGAGGTCTCGAAGAACTTGGGTATGGGTTCCGCCGCTATTGGTCTAACTGGTGCCGGTATCGGTATTGGTCTCGTCTTCGCTGCCCTCCTGAACGGTGTTGCCCGTAACCCCGCTCTGCGTGGCCAGCTCTTCTCATACGCCATTCTGGGTTTCGCCTTCGTCGAGGCCATTGGTCTTTTCGATCTCATGGTTGCCCTTATGGCCAAGTTCGTATGTATTTTCCAGAGAAATTTTGTACCTCCAGCATCGATGCTGACTGTTTTACCAGACCTAAACACTTTAATACCCACATTTATGGAGGGCGGGCTTCACATTACGTCCTTGCGTATGTGAAATGAGCGATGCGAGAAACCCGGACGCTATGTCATGAATATGACTTTGCGTCTCTATATGGCCGATGGGGAAATCACCATAGAATAATAGACGGGTATAGACTTAGAGATGGGCATAGAGCGGGGTATGAAACCGTCTACGAGAGGGGCTTCATAGCATCGCCTTCAGGCATGTGTGTAAAGATGGAAAAGGAAAATAATCACTACGGAGGTGTTAGTTCACCTTGCCGCAGTGAAAAACTTGTAAAAATACCATATCAACCATCACCATCACCCAACTGGAAGCACAAATTTCTTTTCCCCTTTGTTCTAAGCAAAAGCAAAAACGGCATGGGTCGGCGTATGATTCGAAGTGTGTATATGATGCTGATATGGCTTCCAATGAAAATAATCTCCACTCACCCATCTGATTGTGCAGTGCTTAATGCCCAGTTGTGAAATAACCAGTTACCGAGCGCCTTAACCCTGCTCTGAGTTTCGTTGCGTGACTTGGCACTGTATTTCGATGAGCGTTTTTTTGGATAAGACGATGTGGTCCAATGCATCGGCGGACTGAACCGGCTTACTCAGGAGAGTTCCTCCTTGGGCAAACCGACGACCTAGTTAACAGCCAGCCCGCTTCCGGCCCACAAGAAGCGTGATAGCGCCAAACTCTCCACCCAGTGCCTCGTTCTGTCTGCCGCACCTCCCAATTACAGAAGTCAATGGCTTCGATGTGGACCTAGCGCTGGAGACTGGTGAAGCAGAAACTGGAGATGAATATGTGGCCACGGAGCAAGTGGACTCTTTCACCTGGGGGATCTGAGACGGAGACGGGGTATGTGAATGATCAAATGATTTAGCTGTCTAGCTACTTCGGGTAGTATTTTGCGTATGAGCGATGCTGACTCTACCCGCCAAGCTCTTCCTAAGTGCCTAGGTTGAGGATAAGAAGACAGCTCAACCGGTACTAGGTGGGAGGGGTTTGGTCTCCAGTCCACGGGTGGTGGAGCCTTGTTGAGTGAACGGCATGTCGAGGTTGCGAGTTCTACTCTGCTGCATATATAGCGGTTAGAATCGCCTCGGCGTCCACATCGATCGGCATATCCCCCTATCCTTCCAATTCAGCGACCGCTGAATGCTTCCTAATAATGTCGGCTGGGCCAACTAGGACCCTGCCTAACTGTGAAGGCATGATGCGTTGTTCTGGGCCCGACTATCCGCAAGTCAATAGACATTTGACAACCTTACTCCGAATCCGGTCGAGTCGATTTATGCCTCCATCCGTTCATCGAAGACCGTGAATTCCCAGCCAGGATATCGACTCGGTACTATTGACGTCCATCCCTATGGTGACTGGAGCACCCAACCCGGAATCACCTCAAAGTTTGACGGCGATTGTAGCAGAGCGAAGAAATAATGCCAGACGACAGATATCCCGTAAAGCATACCACCGAGAACCAACAAAGTAATATCGGGACTTTCCTGGGAACGACTTCGAGCGGGAAAGTGACTGCCCTTAATTGCTCCGTCATCACCAGGGCGACCGAAATGCCATGATACCAACCATCAACGCCATCCAAACAAGCAGCTCGTAGTAACATTAGCTCCCTTGTGGGCCAAGGCGTCCAAACCTGAGTGTTGGAGCTTGTCACATCGACCGGCCTGACCGCGTGAAACAATACTGATGAGGATCCGACCAAGTCTTTCTTTCCCAGTCTTGATACTAATCAAATAGACT